CGTAGATTTTCTTGATTTCACTACACTGTGCAAGTGATGAGGGGAACTGGCTAGCTGTCTTGTCAGACCATTTTTTCACCCAGATATCAGTGACCGCACCTGAGTGGTGCTGAACCACGCTGTCGATGGAGCGGTGCACTGCTGGCTGCCGACGTCCATCGACATCAAGCTGACACGAAGAGAGTAGGGCGCTGATAACGGGTAGGCCGGGCTTGGCAGGTTCTTGGTGAATGATGAACTCTGAGTAGCACCGGAAGCATAGCACATGCAGGCCTTCATCAATGTCTTTTGAATCTGGCAGCTGGATACATGATTGCTTTCTATCATACACATACTTGCGTTCAGCTAGACTCTTCTCACAGTGCTGTTGCAGCTTGGGGCTCACATTTCCCAGCGCCTGCAGGAGACTGTCGGGAGTGGCCTCAGACTGACTTGAAGACAACTCTTGCCACTCCAGTAAGAGTACTTCAAAGAATGCGGCATCACACAGAGACGGTGAATTATTCTGCCTCAGTATTGCTTTAACGTGTTCCGTCCCGCTCATATCTTGGTCAGGCAAATGGCCGCAAAGGAGCTCCTCGGCAAGTTGAAAAATCCGAGCGCCTTCCAGAACATCACACATGACAGGGATAAAGTTGGCTGGGAACGGATCGGTGGTGGAAAACTCTAACAAATCCTCCACACCTTGCCATGTTCGTGTCTTCTTTGTCGTTAGAAGTGAGTACAGCAGGAACGGAACAAGCTCAGCATTCAACTGTGCACACAATAACACCCAGAAGGCTTGGAGATGAGGGCTATTTGCTCCTAGGCTCTCGACAAGTCGGACAAGTCGGGCCTCGGTCATATGTGGATATTCGGCCCAGTAGAGAGCAGCCAGATACTCTTGGATGGTCGAATGGCTGAATCGCCATTGCTGGATGCAGTGGCCGGCATGGCTGTCTGATTCTTCACAGGCCACAAACAGACCGAGTCGAATGGCCTCCTTGCTGATGTTCTGTTCCTGAAGGTTCTCTTCGCTGAAGATCAATTGTTTCTTTCTGAGCATGTAGAAGGCAAACTTTCCAATCTCCAAGATCAGCTTGCGAATCCTCTTGGGAATGCACCCCCACTTGTCAAACTTGCACGCGTTTGCGGGATCTGCCCGCTTGGCAATTTGCAGCAGCATGCGGGTGAAAACGTCTGCCACGCATCGAGGAACGGAGCTATCACTGTGATGCAGCAGCATACATGTTTCTTTGGCTATGAACGGAGTAGCCATCATGCCGCAGAGATAGTCTGATTTTACCACCTCGCCAATCAGCCTACCTGCCTTTTCCGCATTCAGCACTTTCTTGATGTAAGGTTCAATATCATCACGTCGAAATCCCGCCAGCTCGATTTGCTGATAGAAGTGTGCCATCTGCGACAAACCGAAGATATCGGCACATAGACGTGACGTGACTATCAGTCGGATGCCTCGCAGCTCTGTTCCCTGAAGTATGTCCCTCACAAAACTGCTGCAACCTGCTAGGCTGGCCTCATCTAATCCATCTAGAACAAGACACAGGCAGGCTGGCTGGGCACGTATGTAATCACAGATCACTTGCTGGTCTCCGGGGTTTACTCCGATTCCGCCCAGGCCGAGAAGTTCCCTCAGTGAGCCTGCTCCCTGAACATCTCTGTGATGCAGCTCCCTAGCGACAACCAACAACCTGTTCTTCCATAACAAGCCATTTGCCCATTTCATCGGTGCTGCTTTGGTCATTATGAACGTTTTGCCGCAACCAGTACTGGCAAAGATTAGCGTTCCAACAGTTGATCCTCGCTCCTCCAATTCTTCAGGGACATCCCTCGAAATTGCATCCAACCCTGTCAGCCGCAAACTGTCTCCTGCCTGGCTAAATACATGTTCGACTCTCCACAGATCAAAGCACGATGCGAACTGTTCCTTCGGATTAAACTCCTCTGCAAGGGCATTCTTAGGCAACATAACCAGATTGTCAATGAAGATATTCTGCACTGTTGGTACAAAGCCGTCGGGCAACATTCCCAGTGGGAAGGTGTCCTGCGCACTGAGGTACCGTTCAACTAGTCGCTCCCGGTATTCTTCCACTTCGCGAGGTAGGTCTACCTTCGTATCGTTCTCGGCAGTATCTCCAAGACCACTAGGACCAGTTCCCATGTCGGATTTTGATTTTTTTCACCCCTTTCTCCTCGGCTCATACTAAGTATACCTTATCGATCGGCACAACTATTCTGGAAGTATTTCGTTGCATGTTCCGCTAAGTAAGTTAGTTAGCGGGACTGGCTCGCAAATGCTAGAGAGAGGGAGGACTGGGGTAAGTAGTTTGTGCGGCGGGGCAAGGACTACGTCTAGCGTCTGTGCATCAACCGACACCACAAAATGAAAAAAGAAAATAATATAAACATATCCAGCCCCAAATAAAAATACAGCACGGATCGGAGGCGTCGCGTTCCGGTTGTTCAGCTGGCCACGTGGCATGTGCGGGGTCTAGACCCGGTCTCGGTCGTGTCCGTAGTACAGTACTACTTTTCTTTTTTTTTCTCTCTTTTCGGCAAGATATCTTTACGCCCATGTTTCTGTAGCTAGCTACCGTATAAGCATGGTCCTTTATTTTTTCAATGACAATGTACCTAGTACCTCCGCCCCCGCGGCCCGTGCTACTAATAATAATTTATCACTCGCTTAGTGTTGACTCCCATTGATTTTCGCTATCTAAGCAGTCAAGTGCCACTCCCGGTATGGTTTCCATTCCATTGCGTATCTTGGTGCCGACAGGTGGAATGCGCTGCCTCCATCTTGTCGCCTGTCCGAGTCGCCTGCTTTGTTTCGCGCTCACACAAAGTCTCATTTAGGGTTCCCAGTAAAAAGGCAACATTGCCTGTTGGGAAATCCCTAACAAAATAAGAAAAAATTAATAATAATAATAATAATGTGGAAGAGAAAAAAGACATAATTATTATGGATACGAGTTAAGAGTAACTCTCCACCACTGTAACATGATACTATAATACAGTCAGAAAGTTTTTTTTCTCTTCCACATTATTGGAAAGGCTTCCTGTCTGAAGCCTTTCCATACTCGTACTCGATGTTCCAGTTTTGTGACACGAGAATGGCACGAGAATTAGTGTACCGCTGAGTGTACCGCTATACACGTGGTCGACACGTAGTCGCTAGTCGACACGTTGTTGATACTTTTTTGACACGTGACCCCGTCAACGGTCTGCTTTGTGCCAATGCCACTCGGTAAACGCCGATGTCGCGTACGACAAAGACGACTATCCCGTACGCGAAATAGTTGAGAATTGCATGACGTGGACCTGACGGCAAGGACAACTGCGAGAAGGCTTCCTGTCTGAAGCCTTTCCATACTGGTACTCGATGTTCCAGTTTTGTGACACGAGAATGGCACGAGAATTAGTGTACCGCTGAGTGTACCGCTATACACGTGGTCGACACGTAGTCGACACGTTGTTGATACTTTTTTGACACGTGACCCCGCGCTTTGTGCCAATGCCACTCGGTAAACGCCGATGTCGCGTACGACAAAGACGACTATCCCGTACGCGAAATAGTTGAGAATTGCATGACGTGGACCTGACGGCAAGGACAACTGCGAGGAGGCCCCTTTCGGTACCCCTGACGGGAAGGAGAACTGCAGAAGTCGACGAAGTCGAACGAGGAGGCCCCTTTTCCGTACCCCATACTGCAAAGTGCCATTGATGGATACCTTTTGCACCTGAGTAGTAAGTGCGGGGCAGGTTCTGGCACACTTTTTGACCTTTGACCTTTGGGCCAAATAAGGCACACTGTGTCGGTCGTGCTGGGTCTGGCCCCGGGACTTCCCCCAGGGTTTGACCTTTGACCTTTGGGTTAAACAAGGCACACTGTGTCGGGCGCGTTTGGTCTGGCCCCGGAACTCCCCAGAGTTTGACCTTTGACCCCTGGCATGCCATAAATGTCATCATGTTCTTTTCCGTGGCGAACGTGCACTTGTGCACGTTCGGTGCATTCGCACCGGGGAGTAGTAAAATACGTACTATTCCCTGATTTGCACATCGTAGATGTGCAGTGACATATTGCGCATGCGTGCATACGCACGCGGAGCGTGTGACCTTCAGTGGTCCTATGCGTGTGGAAAAGACGCAGTGCAACACAAGGTGTACTAGTACACGTGTCATTATACTACTCCCTGATTCGCACTTCGTAGATGTGCAGCAAACAAGTTCACGTTCCTTGCATTCGTTTTATTCGCACATCGTAGATGTGCACTGATTGACAAGTTGCCCATGCAGAGCATACCTAATCGGCTTTTCGATCGAGAATGTTCAAATTCGGCCATATTATGAGCTCCAAGATCAGAATTCGGCTCAACATAGTACTTGAAGTCACCGCTCCCATTACGTCATGTACATTTACATTTTAGCTTGCCGTGGTTGGCTATCACCTGACCTCTCATGTTTATTGGCAGTCTTCGGACGGGCCAGGAGATGTTGAATAAATAAATAAATAAATAAGCATACACCCTGTTGAAGCACTGAAGCTTCGGTTTTCGGGGAATTCAACATGCGAATTTTTGAAAATTCGGCGAAAAGATGGGTAATTTCTTCAAAACCACTGTTTTCGGCGAATTTTTCGCCCGGCCGATTAGGGAAATGCCTACTGTCCATGCAGGTCCATTAGATGCAAATTTCTATTTTGATCAGGATACACAACAGAACAACAAGGACAATCAAGGCTTGTTTGCTGCTACTTTAAGTTTCATGCTTACGCAATCATCAGGCAACATGAATGGGTACATCCTTCGGTGATCAGGATACAGTTAGAATCAACCGGCTACGCCCGGAGTATCATGCATTAAAACAATTATTGAAGGGGTGTCACAGTGAAGCAGTGTTGCTACGCACCACAAATCCCCTCTGCACTGCATCGAATCTATACTGGAGAATCCAGAGTGACCAGCAAAGAGTCACAACCCGCGGGTATCCAGTCACACTAAGGCATATCCACCATTCCCCACATATTCACTGTAACAAAACACAATACTGTTTACTATAATGCACTTTTATTTAAATGGACTTGGATGAGTCTGTAGAAGAGAACACAATGCACGCACACGCACGCATGCGCGGGCACACACACACACACACACACATCTAGGTTATAGTGCTATACACGTATCTAGGGTTTAGGAGGCACGAGAATATGTCGAAGCACCCACGCATACCCCTTCATGCAGTGTACTTCACGTCTTCAGTAGCCCAACACATTACGACTGCTCAGGACCATCACAAAACACATTACGACCGCTCAGGACCATCACAAAACACTACACACTGTTACTACACTGCATACACAGTTGCTACACTACGCCTGTTACAAGTACTTACAAATAATTTTGAAAACAAATGGCACATCCCGAAGACGGCAGCTAGCTCCAGACCTTCATACATACATCATCATCATCTGTAAAACCAAGCATGAGCGCACACAAACACTATTAGTGTCACGAATACGGAAGCAGGGTGAGACAAGAGGATACGAAACAAGTAAGTATCGCTATAACGAGGGGGATAAGTATACATGTAGACAGAGCAGTGCTTACTTACAGGGTCCGGATACGCTCCATGGCGTCCCGGTAGTCGGACTGCAACAGCAGCCCGACTTGCCGGCCCTCCCAGTAACGGGTTCGATGGGCCGCACCCGCCAGGTGTGCGGCCACGGCCTGGCCTCCCACCAGCCTTTCTCCACTGTAAAAACGAAAGAAACCGCAGAAAGCACAGTGTCATAGAGCTCTTTTGTTGGGGGAGAGAGCTAGGAGCACTGCACACTTACCATTTGTCACAATATATTATAAGAAAGAGGCGGCGCTTGACGCACCGCCTCAGGTGCTGAAACAGGGGTATAACTCCTGTAAGTTCCACACCGCAGTGACATGTGAAAGCCATACTAGGAGCACTGCACACTTACCATTTGTCACAATATATTATAAGAAAGAGGCGGCGCTTGACGCACCGCCTCAGGTGCTGAAACAGGGGTATAACTCCTGTAAGTTCCACACCGCAGTGACATGTGAAAGCCATACTGGAATGATACTGAAGTGAAGGTGTGAACCGCAAAGCAAGGCCTTTACCTTCTTCCTGTCGAATTCGCTCTCCAGCTGCATAACGACATCATCCGCTAAAATCCAATCATACCAAGTAATGCAAAGGTCATCAGTTGACCTTTTGGACTTTTCAACTCTTATCCAAAACCACCAAGAGGAAAAAAAAACCAGGATAATAATAATAATCTTTATTTCAGGATTACCCAAAGGCTAACGCCTATCTGGGGATGAAGAAGACGTCAGTTGTAGAAGCGTTTGTGGAGGAGTTGTTACATTATTCTCAGTAAATAGATATGGCTGATACATTCGGTGTAGACGTGGACGACCGGTCGTGGTCTCTCACCACGGGTCCTTTACTAATAGAAAGGCGGACGTCAATAAGAACTGTTGTGGACTTGGCAGATCAAAACGCGCAGCAAGAAATTTGGCACGTCGATGGTAGACTCCATCGGGAGGACGGACCAGCTCTTGTTGATAGTAGGGGAGTGTCCGCCTGGTGCTATGGAGGTCGCCTTCATCGCGTTAATGAACCTGCTTGGATAGGACGGGGTAGCATCGAGTACTACCTCAACGGCGTCTAGAGCCGGCGGTCCTGCAGTCAGTTATTGTGACGCCACATACTGTATTCTACGGTGGTATCACCACGGAATGCTCCACAGGGAGAATGCGCCAGCGGTGATACGCAGGGAAGGTAACAATCGTGTACGGGAGTGGTACCGATACAACCTTCGGCATAGGGAAGATGGACCTGCTTTCATCTCTCAGGAGGAGGAGGGTATCTATCAGTGGTACCTCAACGGGGTGTATTACGGTGACCACCATCAAGACCAGGCAATACACCCCATGGAGCTGCAGTACACCAATGTAGTACCTACTAAGGTAGACTCGTCAGCAATAAGTCATGAGTCCATTTGTGTGATTTGTCAGGATACCCTGGACCGTCCTCTATCCAAGTTGGAGTGCGGTCATGAATTTCACTTCCACTGTATGAAGCAGTGGATCAGTTCTACCCCCAGCCCTACTTGCCTAACCTGCCGCTACTCCATGACTGCTGAGGACTTGGTTGAGTTCTTGTAGTAATACATGACACAGCTGCATGTAGGCGACTACGAATGACCAGTCATGTGCTACAGATGGACACGGACACGCCACCCTAAGTAGCCATGAGCGGCTATTTGGACAAGGACAACAAAGCACCTCGTGGGCGGCCAAGGTTGACACTAGCCACAAGTCTGGTCGCTCAGTTGAATAAGCTGGGTGTGCCCATGAAGACCATGGAAGACCTTTCCAGGTGCCGACAACATGCAGAGGACAAGACAGACTGGAAGAAACTGTGCAGCTCGACACTCGAGGACAAATCAGTATCAGCATCTACTACACCTTGCTGATGATGCTCACAAGACAGAAGTGGGAAAAACACTGAATTTCTTTATTTAGTGCTCAACTACGCGAAATGTGTTATTATTATTATACATGTTCAACTGTACTCCGTCTGGCTGACTGCCATTCTCTACCACACATTACCGGACACTGTTGTGGTTGTCGTCGTTATCGTCGTCGTTGTTGATGTTGTAGTCGGTTGTTGTCGTCGTTATCGTCGTCGTTGTTGATGTTGTTATTGGTTGTTGCTGTCGGTTGTTGCCGGTTGTTGTTGGTTGTTGTTGGTTGTTGTTGGTTGTTGTTGATGTTGTTGTCGGTTGTTGTCGTCGTTATCGTCGTCGTTGTTGATGCTGTTATTGGTTGTTGCTGTCGGTTGTTGGTTGTTATTGTTGATTGTTGTCGGTTGTTGTTGGCTGTTGGATGTTGTTGTCGGTTGTTGTTGGTTGTTGCTGGTTATTGTTGGTTGTTGTTGGGTCTTGTTGGGCGTTGTTGGTTGTTGTCGGTTGTTGTCAGGTGTTGTTGGTTGTTGTTGGTTGTTGTTGTCGGTTGTTGTCGGTTGTTGGGTGTTGTTGTCGGTTGTTGGGTGTTGTTGTCGGTTGTTGGGTGTTGTTGTTGGTTGGTGTTGGTTGGTGTTGGTTGTTGTTGGTTGTTGTCGGTTGTTGTCCGTTGTTGTTGGCTGTTGTTGGTTGTTGTTGGCTGTTGTTGGTTGTTGTTGTTGTTTGTTGTTGTCGGTTGTTGGTTGTTGTTGTTTGTTGTTGTTGGTTGTAGTTGGTTGTTGTCAGTTGTAGTTGGTTGTTGGATGTTGTTGTTGGTTGTTGTCGGTTGTTGTCAGTTGTTGTTGGTTTTTGTTGGTTGTTGTTGGCTGTTGTTGGTTGTTGTTGGTTGTTGTTGGTTGTTGTTGTTTGTTGTTGTCGGTTGTTGGTTGTTGTTGTTTGTTGTTGTTGGTTGTAGTTGGTTGTTGTCAGTTGTTGTTGGTTGTTGGATGTATCTGTCGGTTGTTGTCGGTTGTTGTCGGTTGTTGTCGGTTGTTGTCGGTTGTTGTTGGTTGTTGTTGGCTGTTGTTGGTTGTTTTTGGTTGTTGGATGTTGTTGTCGGTTGTTGTCGGTTGTTGTTGGTTGTTGTTGGCTGTTGTTGGTTGTTGTTGGTTGTTGTTGGTTGTTGTTGTTTGTTGTTGGCGGTTGTTGTTGTTGTTGTTTGTTGTTGTTGTTGGTTGTAGTTGGTTGTTGTCAGTTGTTGTTGGTTGTTGGATGTTGTTGTCGGTTGTTGTCGGTTGTTGTCGGTTGTTGTCGGTTGTTGTTGGTTGTTGTTGGCTGTTGTTGGCTGTTTTTGGTTGTTGTTGGTTGTTGTCGGTTGTTGTCGGTTGTTGTGTTTTAATCGTTATTTTGTTCATTACCCAGGAGGATGTTGCTATGATCCAGTACCATTTTTTCGCATATATGAGACATGTTTGTGTAACGTTAGTGTGACGTGGGGTCTGCTGATTGGATGTGAGGTGGTGAGAGTATGCTGATTGGCCGATAACAATTAGTGGAAGGGATAAAGTAATGCGCTGCTTGTGCAGCGTAACCAAACACATGGTCTGTGGGAAACACCCTAGTAAAATAAATAAAAATAATAATAACATGAATTGCCACCGGCACTTGAGAGACTCGAGCCCCGCCACCTTGTTCAAATCGGACTTGGTAGCTTCATACTGGAACTTAATCTTCTTCTTTTTGAGGTATGACCGTACAAAACGCGCTTGGATTTTTTCATTTTTTTTTATTTTTTTTTATTTTTTTTATTTTTTATTTTTTTCATTGCAACTTTTTTTAGCAGATAGCAACTTTTTTAGCAGACTCGTGAAACAACGGTGAATCTGGAACGAATAAATGGTCCATGTCAAAGGCATGACGAGTCTCGAAGTCTTCACATTCACGATGGAACCTTGTCATGATTGACGCATTCCTTGATGGTGCGCACATGAAATCACCCTGGCTCATCTTTTCCAACTCCATTCTTTTCACATCCTGCAACCCATACCCTACTAGTATCAGTGGGGATGCTAGAATCAGAAGAGGCAAGGCAGCACTCTTCCGTGGATGTATTACTCGACACAACACCACCCATACTTGTTTTCTAGAAGTTTTGACTATAATGATATATTGCAGCAGGAAGTAGTATACAGTCAAATAGGATAGGATAAGAATGAATGATCAACTGTCTGATAAAGAATGCAGTTCATTGAAGACTTATTGGAAGGTCTCTGCCAGCTGATCGTCATGTTGGACGGCGACACTGCATAATGATATGAAGCTCTCAGTTAGCTGTTTCAGTTCCGTGGTAGAAAGTGTCATGTGTGCGTCCAGAGAACGATGAAAACATCTGGGGTCCACGTTGATGCAGACGATTGGAGCAACAGCAAGACGTACCTTCAACGCTTGCTCGTCAATGTCGAGGGAGACTGCCCCGGGGTAGATGAAAACATCTTGTTCCACATCCAGTTCGAACCAGCTGGTCGGGACTAGCTTGCTTTCACCGTTGATGTACACCCGACATTGACCGTAGGACGAACGTGATGGGTAGAAGTTGGTCTTGATCTTCTCCACACGTCCTCTTCGGAGAGTGTCACGGAGCGATGGACGAGTCTTGACCAAGTTCGTAATGATGAACTCAGTGGACTCATTCAGTTCGATGTAAACCTGTCCTTGAGCATCTTTGCGAGCTGTTGCCGTACTACCACAGGCTGGTAGAGCTCCTGAAGGGAAGTACATCTTATAACCAGGCTTGTAGAAGGATCTACCTGATGACTTGTAGGACAGTTGCATGTCCTCCTGAAACCCATCTACCACAATCTCTTTGTGGAGCTTGGTAGGAGCAGGTGACACATAGCGACGCTTAGCCGGTACTGCCTTCGAAGAGAGCACAACTTGAGGAGGGTCAGCAGGAAGAGCGGAATTCTTCCTCACCCGCCGCTCGTATAGGTTATCCATCTTCCAGGAAGCGAAGGGAGAACAACTCATCAGCACTGTATTCGATGAACGAATGACTCGACTACAGGACAACCACCCGTATTTATACAAGGCAGAGACGAAGGCGGGTTGAAGTGATAAAATATGTGTCAGCTAGGTCAACCAATCACCATCAAGCCCACCAAAAACATTTGACCACTCAGCATTGAGCCCACCAAAAACATTTGACCAACCAGCATCAAACCCGCCAAAAGTATTTTGTCCAATCAGCGGCATGCCCACCAAAATCATATCTCATCTTAAAGATTCCTTACATGATACCGCCACTTTAGTGAACTGATACAGTATGGAAATAAGATCAGAGTCAAACGTGTGCAAGTTCTGAATCACGTGATCAAGTGAATAGGTTTCCCAACAATAGGCATCAATCAATGATACCATAAGAGATGTATCAGATGGAGATAAAATCAGCAAATTCGTACGCAACGTGGACAGTTGAGAAGAAGACACCATCCTGGTCGACTCCATGAGACGCAGTACATATAGGAGTGGAAAATGCTGAGGAAGAGGTTTCATGATTCGACTGAACCTCAACCATGATACATTGCTACGAGGTAAGTAGGAACGCAGTTTACGTAGTACATCCACATTCGTATCGTA